TGAATAAGTAAGAAATGGAAGAATCCCAGGAGGACAAATGATGACTGGACAACAAGAGGTGGTAAAGATTTTTAGAGCTATGATGACAGGGAAGAATATGGCCTGGGTCAGGAAAGGCCTACAGTTACTGAGGGGCTCTATACCATTGTTTCCAGAAAGGACAGAATGAAGACTCACCCTTCATTCTTCTACTTAAATGCGGTGGTGGTGGGAGGAAGCAGAGGGAGAAGTGTTGGTTCCTTGAAGAGGTTAGCTGGGGGAGGGAAAAGGACTCGGTTTTGTTTCACCTGTTCTTTCTGTTACTCACAAAGGGAAGAAACTTACAGTCTGATAGAAGCCTACATTATATCAAAATCACCCAACTGCCCCAGCTGAGAGGAATGGAGGTACCAAGCTAAGGAAATTAGGCCCTGGCTACTTGCTGCAGTGCTGGATCTTTTACAACATCTAGCCTTCACCTGTGATATGTGCAGAACTCCCATTTGTGTCAGTGGGAAAATCATGAGGGACTGAAAACTGGACTAGACTCCTAATTGTATAGATTGTATTTTAAGATAATAGAGAAATGTTATTCATATAATTATCACTGGGTGTGTCTACACATGGGCATTTAATGTGTATTAGCCCAATTTAAGGAGTATTAAGGGTGTGCATCCGTAATGCACCGTAAAAATGGTGATTGTAGACTTATCATGCTTAAATTTGATACCTGCATAAAGCAAGTATCAAATTTAGGCACAATTAGTTAAAGTACATTAGCGTGTGTAGACGCATTAACGCACATTAATATGGGGACTTCAGTGCTGCGTCTGCCCAGTCTCTAGGGGGTTGGCCAAAGCCTAGCCCCAGCGCTTCTGGCTGGCCACCTCTTCTGCTCCAGGGCTGGCCTGCTCTCTAGCAGCCCCTAGCTGCAGGCTATAAGAGCCTTCAGCCATTTTATGCCTTGGGGCACACTGCACAGGGAACCTGAAGGAGCCAGTGCTATCTGCATGAAGTTCATCAGGCCCTGTGTGCCCTGCTGGACAGGACCCAGGCAGCCTCTGCCTGTCCTGCCCCTAGCCAGAGCTACTTCTTGGCTACAGGTGAGTGTTGCAGAGGGCTACAGCCTGCTGCATCCCTTGCCCAGCCCTGAGGTTCCTCCCAGGGCTGCTGGCACTGCTCTCTATGGTAGCAGGGCCAGTATCTGCTCCTTGTTCCCTGCTCCTGCTCAACCCCAGCTCTGTCTCTTTGCAGGCACTGTGGTGAAGCACATCTGCCACGCAGCTTCCTGTTCCTGGCTGCAACCCTGTCCTGGGTGCTACTGGCAGCCCTCCAGGGCCAACATTGCAGGGACAGCCAGGTGGGGGCCCAGACAGCTGGTGTGGGGATCATGTCCACCACATCATCCCCATTGAGCCCCAGCCCTGCCCACATACTCTTTCCCATCCCAACTGCCCAAGGTCCCAGCTGGACCCAGGAGGAGGTGTGTGACCTTGTGACACTCTGGGGCAAGGCCAATGTCCAGAGGTAGTTTGTGCGGGGCGGGCACTCAAACACCCACATTTATGAGGTTATTTCAGCTGGGATGCATGCGCAAGTCTACTCCTGGATGCTGTGGCAGTGCCACATGAAAGCCAAGGTCTTGTGGGCACAGTGGGTGGCTGTGACCAACTTCAGTTGTTGGTCCAGTTGTGCCCAGAAGACCATGCCCTTCATGTGGGAGCTGGCCTGATTTTGGTGCTCCAGGAGCCAGGCCACACCTCTGCCAGTGCCACCAGCAGGGGTGGCCTGCCCTCACCCCATCCTGACACCTATGGTGACACCACACCCACCTCCCCAGCTGCTGCATCCACTGGCAGCGTGGGGAGCTCTGCCCAGCAGCTGCACTGCCCATGGCCCAGCCCCACACCCCGAGGAGCAGCCAGCCAAACCACCACCAGCTTCCAACAGTACCAGCTCCTCCCCAAAGTGGGCCCCTGACTGGGCACTGGCCTGCCATTTACCACAGGCCATGGACACTGGGTGCAGCCAGCTGCTGTTGCTGATGGAGAGGCCTGTGCTGACCAGCCGCATGGTAAGTTTGACACTGGAGGAGAGCCCTCTCAGTCTCTGGCCCTGCCCCTGCCCCTGGACTCTGTCCATGCTCACTGCCCAGCCTGCCTGCACTCCTCAGGCCCCAGATTCCCCCCTGCTACAGCCTGCAGAGAGGCAGAACACAATTACACTTCATTGAGCAGCCTGTGTCCCTGCAGCTGGGCAGGCACAGACCACTCACATGCCAAGAAAGGTGTTGATGCCAGTGGCAATGTCCTCCTTGACAGTGGCAGGCAGGAACATGTAGTGCTGCAACAGGAAGCCCTCCAGGCAGTGGTGGAGGGTGCAGGGTGGCCTCAGCTTGCCCCCTGTGCTGTAGTAGCTCAGGGTCCCCAACCAGGAGTGCAGGCTGCCCATTTTTTTTTTTTGCACCCTGATATTATGGAGGTGTCCACAGCTCAGTAACACCCCTACACCATGGCCCAAGCCTCGCAAATGGTATTTCAAGCAGTTGGTTGGACCCTCGCCTTCACCCTATTAGCTGTGGTCCCCAACCATGGGGACCTTCAGCTTACACAAGCCCTGGCCCTGTCTCAGGCCCAGTTGGGACCCCAAACTCCCTCGCTCATTATGGGTGTCCCTTGCAGTGGGCCCCTGGCCCTTCAACCCTTAGGTCCTGGCCCCAGAATGGACCAGTCAAGTCAAGTGCCTGCATTATCAGAGTGGGGTTCCCCTTATCTCTGGCTCAGGTGCTCCAGGGAGCATGCCTGGCCCTCCAGGGTCTCTCCCCTACTAGCTCAGGTGCTTTCCCAGAGCTTACCTGGCCTCTACTCCTTCCTTTGATCTTACAAAGCACACACCACGACCGGTGTTCCAGGGTCTCCCTCTCACTCCCCCCCCCCGTCCCCCAGAGCAGCAGGTCATTGTGCTCAGCCTTAGATGTTATTTCTACCCACCAGAAGGTAAGGGCTGGGGTTAAGGCATCCCTACATGCCTTTCCCCAGAGTGATCACCAGCCTGGCATTTCCTGGGGGCTCCCGTGCCACTGAGCCCCACCAGGCCCCCTCTTCCCAGCAGGGTGCAGTTTTAGGTCATGCCCAGGATCAGGAGCCTCCTAACTATCCCCTACAACTCCTGACCTTCCATCTGGGATGATATCAGCAGCCTTGCAGCCAGGCAATGTTGTTGCCTGGCCTTCCAGCAGCAAATTGCCCTGTTTATATGGGCAGCCCTGGATCCAAAATGGCTGCCCTCATCAGGCACCTGACAGCTGCTAGCTTCAGGCCCTTAAAGTGGCAGGCACCAATAGTGCCCTGCCACACCATCCTCATCTGCTGACATCCTTAAACTTGAAACTATTTTGTAATGTTAATATTATGATCTAAAGCCTGCCAAAGTCAGTGGAAATACTTCAGCAATAGTGAGGGCTGAATCAACAGGGATCAGATTCTGTTTTATCTATTAGGCACATCTGTTAGGCATTTAGGTACCTAAGTGCAAATCTATTGCATCTGACTTGAATTCCTGAAAAACAGTTAATGCAAAACATGTGGGGGTCCTTCTCCTTCTCATGATTTTTTTGTGACTCAACCTGGAGGATCAGATGATGGCATATGACAAAAGTAGATGTGCTAATGGACTTTCAAGGACTTTAATAGGGTAGACTAGAATTGCACTTAGACACCTAAGTCCCTTAGATGCCCAGTAAATGGAATGGAATCCAGCCCTAGATGGCTTGATACAAGGTTTTTTGGTATGTCAGAATAGGGTAGCATTACCTTTACATATCATTAAAGATGGAAGAAAAGGCTATTACTATCAGATGAAATGTACATAATATTAATCTAGAAGTACAAAACCCAACACTAGAAACACAGGAAATTCACAGTCAAGCTTCCCCATAAAAGACATCTGATGCATTAAGGTAGACAAATGTAATTGAGCACCCAAACAGTTGTAATGCTGCCATGAAATTAGAATGGAGAGAAACCAAGCAAAATGTCTGGTCTTCCTTTGTACATATTTAAAACTTTTTCTCTAATCTGAGACTACAAACACAAGCCTGCCATGACAGTACAGATCTTCCTGTGGGTTTTCTGAATCCTGCTTTTTGGTTACATACATGCAAATGCCTTAAATATCCCCTCGCTTCCTGGATTACTAGTCAGTTAGATCTGGTGCAGTGAATTGCTTCCGAATTATATTGAAGATTAATTTAATGGTTACTTTTGCAGCTGTTCTTCACAAACAATTGCCTACTCCTAAAAAAAGGCCATAATCTCCCATCGTTTTAATGCTACTGAATTGCTTTCAGGAAAAACGGTAGTCTACTCTGCTGTGAGGATGCAAAGACATTCAGTGCTATAGAAAGCAAAGGGAGAGACCCTTCTCAAAGTGACCACCAGATGAGATGATCTGTGTTTTAAGTCCCACTGAGAGCAATGAGAGGGAGCCCCACTTTCACATGGCTGCTTAGAATTTCTTGCAGTCAATGCTAGTATCCTTTAGCAGAAGCTGAAGAAACTTTCAATAAGGAAGAACATTGAGTGAATGCATGGAGAAGAAGGAATAGCCATCAATTATAAAACCATTCTAATATTTAACTTTAATTCCTAAACCAATTCCTTATGAGTTTCAAATTCATTTTGTAATCAGTAAATTCTATAGCTTTGGGAAGGCCACAGTGTCTTCTTCATAGGTGAGAAAGGCTATGTGCAATGTACACATCACTCCATAGTGGCCTTTACTCTGAAGTTCCTACCAATCCTCCAGAATGTTTACTCCTTATGCCTATATTATATCATTAGTGAAATGATCAGTACTCATTACGAGCTAAAATATATATAGATCATTGAAAGCATTTCTAATGGAAAAAGGTAAAATGAGGAATTGCATAGGTAATAGCTGAAAAATGAATTGTTGAAAGGTAATGAGTCATAAGTTGAAAAAGAAAAATTAATGTTTCTGAATATACAAATAATACTTACATTAGGAGTGAAAAGGTAAACTAATCCGTCAATCGCTCCTGGTAGAGTAAGTCCACGAATAAGGAATACAGTTAGGACAAGGTAAGGAAAAAAGGCTGTTATATAAATTGCCTGAAAGGAATATAGAAACAGAGAGATAGATATTGATAATAATATTATCTTAGTTAGCACCAGTTGCCCATGTGCATATCTTAGTCAGGTGAGGCACGTGCCCCCCCAGTGACCAGTCAGTGGCCAGGGGGGTCCCCCTGCGGCCAATCTTGCTGATCAGGGGAGAAAATTTACCAGCCAGCAAGCAGCCGTGGTGCTCCCACAAGTGGCTGCGGCACTTCCAGAAGCGGCCGTGGCCTACAACCAGTGCTCCCACTCCCTCTCTCTCTCTTTAAGTTCCTCACCTTTCCTGTGGTTTCAATTCCTCGGATGGTACAAAGGTACACAACTGCCCAGGCAGCAGCCAAGCACAAAACCAGCCACCATTGTGTAGTGCCACTCTCTGTGATATCAGTGGTTACATTTAAAGTTCTCCTGTACCAAAAATAATTTACTGGAGTGCTTGCACGGCATTCTTCTATGAGTCCTAAAAAAGAGAGATGAGAAATACTACTAAACTGGCATGAGTGAGATTTTATATAATACCTTTTTTCTCCTGCACTGTGGGAACAATAGTTAAGAAGCAAGACATCATATTAGTCAATCCTGGAGACTTGTAATGTAGCATCATCGAAAGGGCTAGAGGACCAGAGACTGAATCCCCATATGAAGAATGCACAGAAAATGGTGAAGGTGATGTCACATTGCCTTTGTGACCATCCTGTACAAAGATCAAGTTTAGTTCAGGGACAATTTTAAGAAACCTCAGGATGTTTCTGACTCTTCAGCATCACAGCTACATTTTTAACCCATTCACAGCCACTGCCAAATTGGAAGCAACTTTTGGCCAAGAAAAGGATTTTGGCCAACTGCAAGGGGATTAAAACTGAGCCTTTAGGTGAGCAGCCAGGCTAAGCAGTGATGCTGAAGAAGAGTGCACTCTGCCCCAGTAGCCAGCACTTAGCCATGACTGTGTAACAGGTTAGGTGCCTGAGGGCTGTTATGATGCCCCCTCATCCCTGCTAGGTTCTCTCTCTGCTCCTTCTTTCAAGGTCACACTTTGCCTTCACAACCATCATGTCTTGATGGAAACTTCATGAAAGGGAGACTGCCCACAGAAACTAACAAGCCCAGAGGACTCTCCTGACCTAGCTTGCCTTACGAGCTAATTGTGTGGCTCCAGTCCACCCCTACACCATGGGCCATGCCTTGTGGGTTTTTTGAGTCACCAGTCAGGTGGAACACTTGTCCTTAAGTCTCCAGTCCCTCTGTCTTTCCTTCCTTCCCTTGTTGGGGTTTCAGCCTTCCCAGCTTCTGCCCCTCTACTCTGACTGGTCCCTTATCCAAGGCCCTGTTCTAGACCTGCCCATCTGGGCTCTGGGTCCTGCAGACCCCATGAGTTAGGCCTACCCCTGTCTGGGCTCAAGGCAACCACCAATGCAACTTAAACCAAAAACATCCTAGCCCTTGGGAGACACCCAAATCATCACCAGGTTTAAAATAAAATAAAGACCACTTGCATGCCTAAACGAGCCTCTCTCTCTGCCCCAGGTAACTCTTTCTTGTTCCCAAACCTGCAGAGTTGCTTCCTTCCAGCTTCACTGTCAGCTCAGGAGCCCTGATGCTCTGCTGCTAGAAGCTCCTCTCTCCAAGGCTTTCTGGGCTAGACTGCCTGACCAGCAGAACTGCCAGGTCTTAAATATGAAATTATTGTATTGGGAAGCTCAAATTATCATATTTTCTGAAAAACTATCATACACTGAAAAATATGTAAATAACTATGCAAACAAGTATGCAAATAAGTCTTATTTTCTTTATATTGCTCATAATAAGTCTTCAGTGAGTGAGTGAGAACTGGGTCATCAAAGTTGAAGCATTTCTTTATTTCGAGGCAAGTAGTCATTAGAAAGCACTGACAGCGAACCTGAAAGTTGGTTAAAATTCCGCAAGAGTGACTTGGGTTTTGAATATGCTGAATCAATTAACTGCCTTAAAAATTATTGTATGTTTTGAACACTTTTAATATTATCTATCATACATTGTACAAGCATTGAAATTATTATACAAATATGATAATGATTCTACACCTGGCAACACTGCTGACCAGCTCAGGTTCTGGACTTATATGGCTCAAGCCAAGCCCTCTTCTGGTCAGGTGACTCCCCTGTCAGCTGATGTGACTACAGTGCTGTTCCTTAACCTCTGCTCTGCTGGTTGCCTGTGCTACAAAGATCCTGCCCTTAAAGGGGCTATGCTACTTTTCAGTAACAGGGCCAGTGTTCCCTGTTACACCCTGGAAAAAAATATTTCCCCCCCTTCATTCTGCCTTCCCAAAAGAAGGTGTATGCTTTATTTTCCTGCATACCATATGTCCCACAAATACGGTAACCTATTCTGACAGATCACAAGGTCTGAGATGGAGGATGGAACTCAGCACACCAGTGATCCAATTCCCACTGAAGAAACAAAGAGCCAATTCCTTTCTCCCTTTATGCACCTAAATGGCCTATAACTGGCATGTTTAGCACGTGTGTACAGTCAGCAATTCAGCTCTATATGCACAAGCTCATTCAAATGCACTGAGCATGCTGGTAGGGCTGTGCTTCAGCTGGGAGGCCAAAAACAATTGCCTAGGTATGCATGGAAGGCCAGGTAAGTCCTCTATTTTAGAAAAGAAGCAACAGTTATGGTTGGTAGAGAGGGGTGTGGGCAATGTCTAGTGGTTAGAGCACTTGGCTGTAGAGTAGGAGGTATGGGCTCTAACACCTTCTGGGTGAGGGGGTAAAGAACCCAGGTCCCTTGTTTCCTGGCAAACTATTATGCTGTTGAGTTATAAGGGCAGGAGTTCTCTTCTTGTCCTCTGGTTAATTTTCAGTGGGTTTTTGCTCAGGTGATTCTTTTTAAATACAGGCAGAAAACAGAATCCCAAATTGTGCATTAAGATCAAAGACTGCAACTCTGTATGTGACACACAGATGTGTAAACTAAAATAGGATTTAGCCCAGTCTCAGGTGAAACTAATTGCTGAATAACAGTGTCATAACAGTCACACTTAGTTTATACTCTTATTTCTTACTCATACTATTAAATCATTTTGATGGTGAAAAAGCTGGATATGCACCTCTGGTGGACCAACACTTAACTCTCCATCCACCCATCTGCTGAAGACAGCGGGGTTACCTGCTGCACAGACTTGTTTTTCACACCCTGCCCAGGCTACAATGCAAGAAGTATAGTTTGGCTGCAAAGAGGTGGTGTGATAAAAGGGCCTTACACCCTCCATGACCAGGTAGGACTAGGTTACCATCAAACCCTAAAATACAGGGAGGATTTTATCATGAGCCTTTATGTTAGATCTACTGACATGTTACAGAAATAACAAATGGCAGAGACTGTAAGCCTGGCTATCTCCCAGTACCTACATAGATAAGTCATGAAATATTACTTACCCGTTCTGTTCTCATTGAGAGGACATGTACTCCATGGAAGAGGGTCTTGGAAGGAGTTAAAGAAATACCACAGCACCCAGCATAAAATGGTATTGTAATATAAACCCACTACGAATGACACTACCATGGAAGCAATTCCTAGAGAAGACACAAAATTTCAGCTGAAATCAATCACTGAAAAAAAATTCCTTAACATTCGCTTTTGCTTTACCCTAACAAGCTTTCATGTAGTGAAGGACTATTAAAATAATTTGGACATTGGAAAAATTGCACATGCTTTGGTGGTGGGCTGACACTTGCCTTATGACCAGGCTGTTGACTGTTTTGAGTGCCCTGTTCAGGAAATACAGTCACCTGGTCTATTTCTACTGGTGAAGTCTATCTTCCAGTTCACTGGGAGAAGAGAAGTCGTTGTGATCTAAAAACTGTCTAAGCAGTGGTAATGGTATTTTTTCCTCCATGACTTTGGGAAGACCGTTATTCCCCAGCACACTGCATTTTCATTCCCAGATGAAGTTTCTTTGAATGAAGCTTCAAACTCAGGGAGCAAAAGTTCTAGTTTTGAATTCTAGCAGCACTGCAATGCTTTTGTCCTTGCCATTCTCAGAGAGTGAAGGGGAGAATTAATTTTACAATGTAGTAAGGTGGATTATAAATATATAACAGTTATTTCAATAATTAGGATGGAAGGAAGAGAGAGAGATGGAGATGGCAGATTCTGAGCTAGAGGAAAATGAAGGTTAAGTGAACAGTGACAGCAGAGCTTTCCTGTACTGTATTGGTAGCAGGGAAACAGAATTGTTTCTCTTTGCCTCTGTAAGATGGGGATGGAGATCACTCCCATGCAATAATGCTAAGAAATCATAGCCCAGCGGTTCTGGGGAGGTTGGTATGCTCAGGTGCCTGTAGGAGAGGAAAAGCACAACTCTCAGGTCTCTAGTTCAGTTACCCACAGCACCATGTGGCAATGCCAGGTTTCAGCATGTAGGCTGTCTTTTCCCTTTAAGAGATGCAGCTGCAGAAACAGCACCCACCACCTTGTGATTTCTGCAGTCTGTGGTCAAATGTAAGTTTAGGTCATTTTAAAAAGGGAGGGAAATGTACGGCTTAGGAGCATGCATTTTCTGTTCTGATTTAACTGTTATGTCTGCTCCTGGAATGGTACAAATGAGCTAAACCACTGCCGGGCTTATACCAGTATAGAAGGAGACACCCATAACACCTGTACTTGGACTTCTTGTACATGCCTGATTTACGTCTGTTCACATTCTACATGATGTTAAGCAGAACTACAAGCATGTTCTGGTACTGGGGCATGAGATTTGTTTCACAGAGCAATTTGCAGCTATGTAACAGGAAGCAAGAGTGCAGGAGAGGAGAAGGAGGACTCTGGATTCAGAAGGGAAGTGGAGCAACAAAAGCAGCTAACTGTGGCTCTGCAGAGGTGTCAGTTGGCTTTGCTGCCCAGGAAATAGGCTGTGGAAGCACGAGGGCACAACCATGAAAAGACGATGCAGACCTCATCGTCCTTCAGGGTTGTGCTGTTGTGTGGCAATTCAGCTGCTGACACTTCCTGCTCTACCCCCAGACAGGAAGGTATGAATTGCTAACTCCGTGGAGAACGCATGTCCCATCTGTCACATCCCTGAGGAAAATGGAAGGCAAGCAGAGGAGATGCTGGGGGAAAAGTTCTCATTCCCCGCAGGCAGAGTGAATTTTAACAGTGAGTGTTGCTTGTTAGTTACACTTATGTTCTTGACAGCTAAGGTTTGGAAAACAAGTAGTAACGAGCTTTGGGGCTTTTTATTTATTGTTTTCTCTATCCGTGTCATTTTACTACTTTGGGGGCATGGAATGATTTATTCTTGTTCCAACTGTTTCGGCCCTGGAAGAGGCAAGCAGTGGCCTCTTGGATGTATGCCATAGGATGTCCCTAATAAGCCTGACATCTCCCATCACCCTGCTTTTTATTTCATGTAGTTAGAGAATAGTCATTTATTAAATTAACCGTAACAGAGATTCCTATGTCCTTGCACATGGGTAAAAAGCATCTGGAAAAGAGGCTGGAGCCTCAACATTTTAGTCTCTGGAAGAGCCAGGGCGGCCACCCTGTGGAATGGGTGGCCTCTGTGTGTGGCACATGGCAGACTGGGGAAGGGACAGGTAACACAGTGGCAGATAGGGCAGGGAACAGAAAGCAGAGCAGCAGATTAGATATGGAACAGGACAGAGAGAAAAAAGCAGTGCAGCAGTTCAAGCAGAGGAAAGGTTTGCCATGGCATCTGAAGGGTGTAGAGCCAATTTGTAGCACACCTGGCAAAACAGTTGGCCTCCCCAATACCCTAGGCCATATTGAGCTTGGCCATTGTTGTGGCTAGCCACATAACAGTGAGATACCAAGTGGAGAAACATACCAACACCTCCAAGGTAGGGTGAGATGGTACTCCAGATACCAACACTGCCTCTTCTCAGGTACTGTCCTATGGCAAGCTCAAGATGCAATAGTGGAATTCCTTCAAAGATAAGGGCTATGAAGTATGGGATCAGGAATGCCCCTGGGAACACAATAACATCTATTTGAGAAATGGAACTGCCTGTATTTCACTCAAGTTGGCCTTATTACTATTTATTATATGTTGTTATGATTGCACTCAGAGTCCTAGTAAGAGAAGGATCCAGTATTTGTAACCTCTGGAAGCACCAGGCCCGATGCCAGTACCTTCATTCAGTTGGTAAATTTGGCAGCCAAGTTCTGCAATGAATGGCTCATATTTCTAGTGCTCCAAACTTTACTTTTGAGCAACTCGGATTCCCTTCTATTTTTCATTAGCACTAGAGCTCTGAGCACCTTTGAAGATTTTTTCCACCCCTCAAGGTTACCTTTTTCCCCCCCACTCTCTTTAGCAAGTACTCTCACCTGTCCCCCTCAACAGTACATTTCCCCAAGTTACCCCTGACCGTACCTGTTAAGAGTCCCCCTACTTCTGCATTCCTATTTTCACTCTCCATAAGCCTGACCTTATGTGAGCTCTTCCCCAACTTGTTTCTCCTCAGCTTCCTTCCCCAAAGTCCCTCCCTATGCCTCTGACCTTCCCCAGGTCCCCTCACATCTCCCACATACCTGGACCTGGTTCATCTTGGAGGGAGAGACAGGAAGAAGTTGGAGGTGGAGTTGTGCTCCCTGGAAGGGTCTGGTAGCTTAGCACATTGCCTTCCCTGCTGGGTTCCCCATACAGCATATTCAGAGTTAAGGCATGGGCAGATAGGTGGATAGGGAGCTTTGTGATCTAAAGGAGCCCAGCACTGACTGGCCCAGAAGTTAAAACATTTTAAGACTGGCCGACAAATCATTTTAAAATAATAAGGTGAAAGATCTTTTGGTTGTTCATAGTGTGTGTGTAATGCATGCAGAGTTTCCAGTCCTCATTAGTAAGGCACATTATGGCACTAAATACAGGAACTTTGCAGGAGCACATATCTGAGATCCAATCACAAAAGCCTACATGAGGTACTACCTGCTGCTCTGGTCCTCTAGAGTCCCCCAAAACTCATGTGTGCTGCTTCATTTTGAGGTCCCCAGCCTTATACCTGCCCAACTCTCAGGCCTGCCCTTAGCTCCTGTTCACATCTCTGCTCCTCATGTACCTATGGAGGCTCTTCATCTTTGCTCCAGGACTTGAAGGAGACCAGCCCCAAAGGTTCTTCACTGCCACCCCACTCTTGGCCTTTGTAGGAGAAAAGAAGATGGGGTGTGGGCTTTCTGCTTCCTCTTATAGGAGGGCTTAAAACGGTGGCAGGAGCAGCCGCCATCTTGCTTGCAGCCCTTTTAGTGGGCAGCCCCTTCTTCCCTGCCCCACCAGGCTGCTGCAGCACACTGAGGGCTGCTGGCTCCCTCTGAAAAGCCAGCATTTTCTTTTCCATAAGTTTTTTTTTCCCCCATGGATTTTGTGGGCTTTGCCCAGATTTCATGGGCAATTCACAAAATCATGAATTTGGTAGGTCTCTACTCATGGTATGTCAAAAATAAACTGCTGGTTCATTGTTGAATGTAAGTAGGCCATTCTGCTTTCACCGGCCATTAGGCACAGACAAATCCAGGATTTTGAAAACGGAGAGTGTGGGACCTGACACGCAGTTCACGGGTAGCTGCACCCCAACTCCCAGGCTTCCCCATTCACTAGGGCAGGCAGAACTTGCTGTGGGAACAGCAGCCAGGGACTTGTTTTAAGTCCCCAAATTGGATAAGAATCTTCCCCCTGCCCCACGCAATGCTCCCTCCCTTCTCCTCCCTGCTCAGTGGCAACCCCCCTTCCCTCCCATTCCACCTCCTTGCCCTCTCTACTTATCCCTCCGGGCATAGTAAGGGGAAACCTGCCCACTGCTGCTACTGCTGTCTGGGCTGCTTCTGCCCTGCCCCAACTGGGGCTGTTGGGAAGAGCTTCACAGGGAGTCTGTCTTGGCCAAGGACAGCAGCAGTGGTGGCAAGTGAGTCTCTCTCCCTGTGCCTGCTTCCAGGCTGGCAGAGAACATGCAGGGGAAGAGGCAGAGAGGAGGAATCTGCCTGCCACCACTGCTATTGGAGCCCCCAGCTGAGCCCAACTCCCCACACAGTCGCACCCTGCGGCCCTGGCCAAAGCAGAGCACCCCTGCTTCCCTCGTATCAGCTGAGGACAGCAGCAGCAGGTCTCCTCTTCCTGTGCCCAGGAGCGTAACTAGGGAGGGAGAGGGAGGAAAATAAGAGAAAAGGTGAGGTATTGCTGAACACAGAGGAAAAGGGAGGAGGCTGGGGGTAGGGAGAAGGAATTTTGACCTGCTTCAGACACTTAAAAAAAAAAAAGGTCCTGAGCTGCTGCTCCAGACTCTGCAGGGAATCCAGCCATCCAGAGCTAAAGGGAACTGGAGCTGCTGAGCTACACTGAGGAGATGGGGGTGTATCTATGTCACTGCACTGCCTCTGAATCTGCCCCTGCTGGGAGGTAGGTGCATGCCAATGTGAAGCCCAAACAGTGAGTGGCATCCTGGCACAGTAAACAGTTCAACAGTAAAGATCATAAATAAGCAGCTACTTAAGTGTCACTGCCCACACTTGAGGGCTGCTCTTATTAATGCAACTGTACCTAATGATGAAAATGTGATCTGTGAAGCTAAAATGTAAAGGGAGAAGAACACTAACTGGGGTCCTGACAAGCTCTTAGCACCAACCATGAGAAGAGAGAGGAGAGAACGCACTTAAAATCCTCACAAAAACAACCATCAGAAAGCACCTATAGACCAAATCCAATTCTCTTTATGCTCCACAGAGGAAATTTTGGGCACTTGTGTATAATGATTCAGCTCTGTGCATGCAAGCCCACTAGATATATTCAGTAGGGCTGAATTCTGGCTGAACAGCTGTGTGGCAAAATAGGATTGCCCAGCTATGGGTATAAGGCCCAAAATTTTCATTGCTGAAAACAGGAAAAGGCCACTCTTACTTTTTATCCTAGTGGTTAGGGCACTTGCCCAGGAAGTATATAACCCAGATAATAGGCCCCCACATGTATTCAGAAAGGATCCGCGTCTTCTTTTATTCAACAAGGTGCTCTAACCACCAGGCCACAATAGGCATTGCCTTGATCCCCCCCAACCCCACTTCAGCTCTCATCTTGAAGCTGGCCCTCTGGGCACCCCAGACAGGTAGATCTGTGGGTGCAGAAGGAAGAGTGTGAGTCTGTGATTCAGTCAGAGTAAAAACAGATATCATCAAATGAAGCAGATCATCCATGGTGGAATATGTCCCACCATAGCTGATCAGCTTTAGAGAGTGAAATCATGTCACCTGACGTGTTGGGTAGGGCTCTGATCCAGGACGATAGGCAATGTGTTCCCCTTGCCCCGGGATTCCTTGCATCCCTTGCTGGCCTGTGCTTCCTTGCTAGGACCTGCACTGACCTGAGCCTCTGTGTGAAACAGGTCAGCGCAGGTCCTGGCAAAAAGGTGTGAAGTGGTGCAGGACCCAGGGAATTCCTGGCATCCTGTGCCTCCCCTCTGGGACCTGTACTGGGTCCCATACCGACCTGTGCTTCACATGGAGACACAGCTCAGCACATGTTCTGGCATGGAGGAATTTCCCTGTCCTGTTCTGCCTGTGCCTTCTTGTGACCGTGCTGACCTGTGCCTCCATGTGAAGCACAGATCAATTTGGGATCCAGTGTGGGTTCCAGCATGGTGACACGGGGTGCCAGGGCTTTCTTGCATCCTGTGCCTCCATGCTAGGACCAATGCATGCTTTCCCTGCTTATGGAGATGTGCACCTTGAGATCCCAAGCTGCAATTCTGTAAGCAGGGAACCCGGACTTTTCCCACTTATAAAGAGGCACCCTGAGGTTCTCTGTAAGTAGGGAAAGCTGAGCAGGTGCTCCTAGAGCCCTGAGGGGTCCAATTCTGCCTGAGCATTCCTGGGGTGCACAGGATCAAGCCTGGAGATGCCCATGCTCGCCTGCCACAGAGAAAATAGATGTCCACTGCAATAAAGAGACACTTCTACACTGCCTTTTGTCACACCACTCGTGGTGCAGCAAAGCATAGGGATGTCTATTTGCTCTCCATTTGTGCCACCATAAAAATGTTTATGGCTGCACAGATATGACAACAGGTGATGTCTGTTCTTTCTCGTTGCTGTTGCTCTGGAAGGAAGCAACATCCACAATCCTGCTTCAAAACAGAACAGAAATTTCCCCTCCAATCTCTTTTCATTTTATCCAATGACTATTAAAAGTAAGGTGCAGTATCTCAGCTTCAAGATTATCATCTGATGTCATGTTGACTTTCAGGTTTTTTAGCCAATTTTTTTTTGTTCCTTTCATAATTCTTACTGTTTGTAGCACATTTCTACTTTTTGGTAAGAAGTGAGATACTCTTTGGTCTGCAAAATGTATATCTTTTACAGTATTTTTAATGTATGCATATTCTGTATGTATATGCAGGTTTCATTTTCCTGCTTATCATGTTAGTTTATTTTATTCTAGGCCCCTTTTGCTTCTTCTGGTATCCAGTTCAACATCTTCAAGATGGAAAATGAGGCTTTATCTAAACTGTTACCTAGGAAGCAAACAATTTAGCTCTGTCTTCCTGATGGGATTTAAATGGCCAGGTTAAAAACAATATGGTTTTATTCCTCTATAATAAAACTATTCTTTGTCATAGTTAATCTATTTTAATTCTTCCTGCAGTGTCAAATGTCTGGACTAAGGGCCTTTGTTTTGGCCAAGCATACCTACAGTACACTACCACCAGGAATAAAACACTGCAGCCAGTTGCTATTAAAATCATTAAGTCTTGCCAAACACTGCAGTTTCCCAAACAGCTATGTACACTGATGAGAAAAAAACTTATTTGAATGTCTGTTTTAAGTGCCAAAGTACATAAGAAGTTCTTTATAAAACTATTTTACAATTTCAGTTACCTGGGAGTGTGTCTGTTTGCCTCCTTTTCTCTGGCAAGCAACCTCCATATCCATTATTCATACAGTGTCAATAACTGGCTCAACGCAGGCAATAAATTCAAATAATCAGTAACAGCCAAGAGTGATAAGTTGCAGATGAGCTGCTATTATGTCTTTATCTCTGATTGCATGAGCCGAGCATGTTAGGCCAAGTTACTAAGTAACACTAATGTGCCATGAATTAGGTTCAGGGGTCTGATAAGAAGCAACTGACACAATCAAAAATTTCAGTCTTTGCTTGTTCTGTAAAGCACCTAGAGATGAAGCAAAATACAGCCTCTGATCTTTCTAAACACTTGGATAAAACCCAGACACAAGCCATTTGTGAGACTGTGGTTAATACAGCAGACCTCTTTGTACCAGTTTGAAATTATGGTGCACTGCATCTACACTGGACATTTGTACTGGTGTTCCCACACTGGTATGTACATCCCCAGTAAAGGCAGGCTCTGAGGCACAGTGTCGCTCGGGACTTTGCATGGGCTAATGAATCTTATGTACTCTTCCTTGCTCAGGGAATTTTCCAAAGTATCCGACTGGAACTCAAACTCTTGAACCACTGAAAGTCAATGGGACTTTTGCTTCTAAATCATGTATGTGCTTTGGAAATTCCAAACAGGTCTTGTTCCATATTAGTATGAAGAAAAAACCTTGATAAGCCAAATAATCATTTTTTTCATTATAATTTTCATGATTTGCTCTAATGTCTCCAATTTTTGCTTTCCAAAGTAAGCGTTCCTGAGTGTGTCAAATGCACAAGAAGCACAAAGTCCATCATGCTTTGACTACCTGCGGCCTTTTCTGGTCCGTTTCTCAAAATGATACAACCAAAGTGAGAGGAGCTCTGGTGAGGTGCACTGACCATAGCTGTGGGACCTGTTCACTGTTACCCTGAACCTTGTGGCACTGTTTATAACAGCGCAAACTGGAGATAATGCATTTCTTAATCTGAACGATAATAATTCATACCAACTTTTCACTAGTACAGTGACCATACAAGGCATGGAGCAGTGGTGAATCTACTACCATTTAAACTATTTTATCCTAAAATATCCAGATTGTTTCCCATTAGTTGTGGTTGTGCACTACCTATAAAGGCTTGGTCAGAACATCTAGTTCCATCTAGTCTGATCTACTGCCTTCAACAGCACGTAATACCAGGTCCCCCCACCCCCCCGCAAAAGTGCAAGTGGAAAGATAAACTGCGCCCAAATTCTGTCCATAGTTACTGATTTGTGTAACTTAGTGGTTCTCAACCTTTTTAGGTTTAAGGCACCTCTTGGAAAATATTAGCTCTTCATTTCACTCATTTATTGATTATGGAAAAATAATAGAACAGTTTTTCTGTTGCAAAGAACTCAGAAAAACCATAACAGGTCCGAATGTTTATAACACTATGGATACCTATTTAAAATCTCTAGGTTTATCTTTTGAATCAGTTTGCACACATTGGACACGTCCAGATGAGCACAATTCTGTGGTATGTGGTGCTGTAAACAAGTTTGCAGTGCCACATACTGCACAGTCCGGTGTTCTCTGTCCTGCAAGGGTGTGCTGCCCAAGCATGCACTGCATCAGGTTTTTTTCCCGTGGGTTTTTGTGACCCCTGGATATCCAGGGGTCACAAAAACCCACAGAAAAAACCCCGGTGCAACGCACACTCGGCCAGCACGTGCTGATGAAAAGTAGATCTGGGATACCCAGATCTGCATTGCAGCTGCCAGCCAGGCTCTACACAGCAGAATCTCCATGGCTGCAGCTCCAGAAGACTCCCAGGACCACAGGTAAGGTTGCTGGGGCCACCTCACTGCTGGCCCTAGACTCCCCTACCCCACCCGGAGCAACTTGCCACGCACAAAAGCTTGCATGACATGGGTGTTCCCCAGAGACAAGTAGCAGCGGCACACAGTGCACCAACACTACTTGTCCATAGGGAAACAAATGTCCATGCACATCTGGATGCGCCCATTGGATGCGTCTACACAAGACGCTATGTCGCTGTAGTGATGAACTACAGCAACATAACATTGGCAGGCACAAGCTGTGACACTGATGCTATGTCACCATAGCAATGAGCTATGTTGCTGTAGCTTGTCACTACGGCAATGTAGTGCCTAAACATAACTGTGCGCCACTGGGACTGTGCAGTACCAAATGCACAGCTAGGTGCATGTGTAGACGCAGCCATTGTGTAGCACCTTAGAGCACACTTGAAAGGATGTCAAGGCATCCCAGGATGCTGTAGCACCTTGATTGACAATCACTGGTATAAACCTTGCAACAAGATGTTTTGTATCCCTTCCAAATATTTGTTGGAAATAATTCTGGTACAGCTCTGTATATTCTTGTTGTTAATCATATAAACATGGAATCTTTTTATATGAATGTCACTAAGTTCTTGACCCCAGTGACATTTAATACAACAATGAATTCCATAATCTAATTATGCACTTACTGAAAAAGCATTTCCATTTACGCTTTTTAATTTGGTGTTATCACTTTTATTAGCTGTCTTGTGCCATGAGATAGGGAAAACAGCCTTTCCATATCAACCATCTTTTTGCCATTCTTCATTTTACTTATTTTTATTGTGCATTCTTATAACTGTAACTCTGCTGATGTTATCTATGTTCTGTGTAACAGCCTTATGTGCTGCCAGTTTTCATGTCTCTATTGGTGTGCATGTTTTGGGTAGTTGAGAACTGTTTCCCTTATATGCATACCCATATTGTTATGTGTGGTCAGTGCGGTGGGAACTATTTGTGTTTCTTTCAACTGTTTTGAGGTAAAAAAGTTCGAATGTTAGGTGCCAGGTGAATCAGATTTTCTGTGCACTGACCTTCCTTTCAAAAACTGTAAAGTTTATAAGGATATTAAATGCTGGAAGATAAAATTGGGCAAAGGTCATTATGGGATTAGTATTCACCATGACTTTTGTGGAGGTCTGAGGAGGAGGGTCTTCCTGGCCAGGTATGACAAGGGAGGGTTTGGAGGAGTTTTGTCCAAGAGCTATTTTTGCAGTGGTATTGCACTTTGCTGTAAAGCTTCAAAATGAAGAGTGCTTTGGTTGCATAGTTTCCTATGGTTTATTCTGGTTCAGATCTATTATCCACTTATTTTTAAATAGCTGAAGTCCTTGCAGTATCTGTGTAAACAGTTGTTTATAATAAGTGACATCAAGATCTGTATTGACAAGATTCTAAAAAGCTGAAATCCTTGGGCTTGTTCAAAACCTAAAAGATCTGGGTTTCATCAGCAACTGGAAACAAAGGAGCTGTGCTCCTCTCAAGTGGTGGTGAGAAGCCTTGGCAAGTCCCTGTATGTAATATAGATACTTAACCCTGTTTCTGGGAATCACCTTCATGGTACTAGGTACCTAATTTGTAGGCAGTGTGACATCCAAATTGGAGTCACAGGTGGTGGGGATATGTTTATATGAAGGTGAGGGAATCTGAATTTTCCCAAAGTCTTTTTCCACAGCTAAATAGACCAAACTCTCTAACTCTTTCATTGCAAGGCAAGCGTCCCAGATTTTGAAACATTCCTGAACTATTCTTGGAAGAATTCTGCATCCTTTCCATTTTTTCCATTCTGCATTTTAAAAGATGCACACACCCTTTCAAAAATGGTCTCACTAAGGTTGCTCAGAATGGTAATAATATTTCCCTCCATTTGGCCCCTGTTCCTCTGCTTATATACCCATTGTTCATTGCTGTGGGTCTTACCTTCCATGTTGTCCTAGAAGCTGATGTTCAGTCGTTTATCTACCAATTCACTTAAGTGACTTCTGCCATCTAAAATTCCACCAGGATTTAACTGGGGCCTATGTTCTTGGTTTCTAGGTAGACTGGCTCCTATTTAGCTCTGTTAAAGTGCACCTAGTTATTGCAGCAAACCTAGATTGCCAAACAGTTCACATCACCCTGCAGAACTGACTTGTTTTCACTTACAGTTCCATGAAGTTTTTCTAACCTGCAGACTTTAATGGGCATTCATTTGAGATTTTTTCCAGTTCATTGATAGATATTGAGTAGCACTGAATCAAGACTAGATTACTGTAAGACTCCAGTTAAAATTACTGCAGTTCTGATAATTCCTTATTTATTGTTACTTTTTGAGCTCTGTTAGTTATTCAGTTTTTAATCATTTAAGCTATGCCACTTTGTTTTCATACAATACACGTTCCTTAATCAGAACGCTGCACCGTATTAAGTGAAACACCCCAGATGTCTGAGTAGATACATTATGACAACACAATTACCTTTGCCAACCTGCTTTCTAAAATTTAACACCATAGTGAAGAAACATCATTTTTAATAATATAGAAATTCTTTTAAAAACACAATTTAATGTCATTTACTTACAATTCTAAAATATGAGTGGATTTTTACTGACAACGCAGAGTGACTGGTGGGATTGATTGACATTATTTTCTTAAAGGAAAGCTCCAATTTCAAATGTTTGGAATACTGGCTTACCGGGCCTTCCAGGGACTTATCCAATGTATCACTTTTTAAAATTCAACTCCTATAGTTTATTGTTCTTCTGTTGGAATGATAATAATGAGAAACTGTTAGCAGGAAATGCTAGCTTTGATTTCCCCCATACATCATTATTGTTAGTTTTTGGTTATTTCCTAAATCATTGTATCTTTTTAAAAAATACGATTTTCACATACAGAAATCTATTCTACTCAATAGTTGAAAAGCAGCAGATAATATATGAATATTAAAAAATGAAAATATAATTAGATCTAAAAGCATGTCTTCTCCGCTCATTCATTCTCTAATATGGTAAGTTGGAACTGTGTATTTAATTCCAGAGCAAAAGAGCTATTAAATCTTACCGCCTCCATATATTTGACACAAGTATGGAAATCGCCACACGTTTCCCAAACCAACAGCAAATCCAATACAGCTTAAAATATACTGGAATTTATTGTCCCACTTTGGTCTGTCATCTTCTTTAAGAACTTCAGGAAGCATACCCGCTGGTAGAGCTTTGGGCATCCTTACAAAGTACAATGTTTTTACCACTCCTGTTCTTCTCTATAATGATGACGAAAAATTAATAGAATTTGAAACCTGGTTTTCCTACAAGTTTTATACAGGACAGTGAGGAATTCTGGGGAAATGGGAGGAGCTTTCTACTCGATGTAACACACAAGAATGCATCAGTGTAAAAAACACAATTTATATGGACAAAGTTTTACCCCTTTTGTTTTTTGTGTAATTTCCTTCTATAGTTAGTGAATACACAGCTATAGTGTTAATTGGTAACTCAGGGTTAAATAGTTCTTTTTGCATGTACACTTTCTTTAAACCTGTTTGTTCTCAAATAATTTGCAAAAGTTGTGTGTCACCGAACACAAATAAAAAGAAACTTCGCAACGTCCAGCTTGCAATAATACTGCAAAATTATATGAAATGTTTCTTTCTGAGAAAGCCATGAGTTAAATCATTTTTCTACTGGGAAGTTTATCCTTTCTTAATACCAAGTTAAAAGGTTAACCAATGACATCAGCTTTTGGAAGAAAATGAAATTGAAATATGCTCAAGGAAAAATGAAATTAAACAGTTTTATCATTGCTGCACCATGTACTTCTGCCCTGTCCACAAGACACTGTATAGTTGAATATATAATTACATTATGTTACATTACTTTCCCCCATATGACAGACATGATCTCTCAGTCCTTACACAGTCAAACTTCCCATTGCCTCTTGTCATGTTTTAGGTCTGTTTCAAAGTATTTTAAAGATGCAGTTTATGAGGATTAATATATTTTGCAGACATTTAAAAAAATACAATTTATTTAATACTTCAGTCACTTTCTTAGTACTCCAGTTCTATAGTTTAACAAGTTAGAAAAATAATTCTTCACTAAATTACCAAGAAAGGACCAAGTTACTCAGTAGTAGCCTTGAACTTAGAAAACAAATCAAAATATTTAATATGATCAAAATGCTAACTATTAACCAAATTAAAAATAATAAAATAAATATCACTAACAGACGCTGTACATCTGGATTCTAGTCACTGTTTCTGAGAAGAGAGGTTGGAATCTGGTCCATGGTCTTTCATCATATCCCTTAAAGATTAATCATCCTTTGCCTGTCAGTGAATCCCAAAGTGTCTGGTTTTACTGTTAATTAAATAGTTACCGAGGAATGTAACAGCTGTGTGCGTCAAGGGTCATGTTTCGTTAAATTGGAGAGCGAGTGAAAACACCTTTGTTGCCCTTTGCTTGCCCAAGTTTCTTGTTAGTTTGCATTTTAAGTAGTTTCAGACCATGTGCTGAATATACCATCCAATAAATTGTCTTGCTGCTTGAAATTACCACTTTGGCCAAGGTCCTATTTCCCATTGAAGGGCACTGAGCTGTTGCTCTCCTCAAGCTAACAGGTCAAGGCTCAGGAGCAATTCTGTGCTGTCCATGGAGGTTTATTCTCTCAGTAAGAAGTCCAGAGTGGTTTCAGAAGCACTCCAGAGCATCTAAGGCCCAAGCTGCCAAAGTCAGCACATTATCTGGAGACACCAGCGGCATTGCCTACTGAATCCTGGACAATCATATATTTACTGGAGTCCTGTGAAGCCACGGGATGGTGGAAACAGTGGTGTCTCCCATAAGCAGCTCTGAGAAATTAACTGCCTTCACAGAAAGAACAAAGATACCTGCATGAAAAACTAAAACGGTGAGCAAGGATACATGGGCATGTTCCTACTCTGGCTGGGAAGCCCCTCAACACTCCTCACAACCTCTTTGGACAGGGAGATTGACTGCCTTGTCCTGTTGGACAACAGCTATTTAGGCCCAGCACACCACAAGTTGAAAGACCTGTCTGGTCCCACAGCAGGCATGAGGTAGCTCTGACAGTAGCTCCTGGGGCTGATCAGCTCTATGCTGAGAGAAGGGGAGACTTAGGTGGTGGGGGTGGGGGAGGATGGAGGCTACAGGTACACCCTTTTTCCTGTCTAGAAACTCAACATATCCAAGGACCCCACCCATCCATTCTCTCAGAGTTGCCCCTGAATCACATCCTCAAGGACTTTTAACCACAACATTCCCTAGGTCCCTGGGCCAGCAGATGACCCTGGATCTATGCCATAGTGCTGCTCAGAGGACAGTATCTCAGTGTCACTTCAGAGAATGAAAAAGCAGGGTTTTCTTCCATGGGGAAAGAACCAGAGATGCCTTCCTCTGCCATTGGTGTTGTACTTGCAGGACATTTCCTTTGAGAAATATGTGCTTCTGCCAGAACACCATTGGAAGCAGATGAGAGCCACCATAAATGAAGCTCTAGGCTGAGGCTTAGACTTCAACAGCCAGGCACAGCAGTCCTGAGATCCATGACTTCTAAATCCACCCTCCCCAGTTCCACACTCTCCCTTCCTGCTTGACTCAGCCCCCTGCATCACCCTCCGTCGCCTCTGGGGCAGACACCTGATGCCACTTCGCTGGCTCCCTATACTTGCCCCAGCAAGCATACAGGTGGCTACAGAGACGCATCCTAGAAGCTACTTAGCATGGGTTTTCACAAGGCTCCTTGGAAATCCCTGGTCAAGCTAGATATGTTTAAATTGCATTTGAACAAGTCTCAGCAAGTCAAAAAACAAAATGAGAAAGGGGGTTACTCTGATAAGCCAGATGTGTGTGACTACTGAAACACAAATCATGGAACTGATCTCTCGTGGTCCGATGGGTCTGAGAAGAACTTTGTTCCATGGAAGACATTTTCTGGGCTACAGACTGGGCTGTATTATGTACCGGATACTGAAAACATCTCTATCTATGGTGGCAGGACGTGCGAAGCAGCAGTAGCTGGGGAGACATAGGGCTTTCCTAACAGTCCCTCCCCCAGGCTGGCAAATAAATATCCAGCCTGCATCTGGCCACATACCTGGCAAAGGGGACTGTAGCTGCCATGGTTTCCACAGTGAAAGATCTCATATTTTTGAAGTCCCGTAGTTCAGGATGTGACCTACAGGTTATTAGATACATTTCCAGGTATCTAATAACCTGTAGGTAACATGCTGATTGTGTTGCTTACTGTGTTACTGGTACATTTGTTTTTGTTCTTACTCAATTACAGTGGTGCTTTGAAAGGTGTAATTCTGGAACTTTTGTACCTTCTTTGCATCTCTCCTCTTGCTTCAGATAAGTCATCTGTAAGCATCTGCAAAGCTACCTCATTCCTCACTTTGATTAGAACTTCATTAGAATCCCTCATTAGACCTGTCTTTTTCCTTGATGGTTAAAGACAACATCATAATTATTTATTTGATTGACAAGTAAATAATTTGTCAAATAAATAATTTTTGCTCCACAATAAAATAATTGCCATAAAAACAGATAAAAAATTAAAATACAATAATAAATGATAAAACAATTCTTCAAACAAACCCCACAATGTAGCCCACACTTGCTAAAAGTCTGCCAAAATAAAAATGTCTTACAAGGCTTCCAAAAGATGTCCAGGTTTGGACTCTGATGGGCCTCAAGGAGGAAGGAATTCCAAAGTTGAAGAGTGACTATTGAGAGAATGACTTCCTACATATTTTCATCATGTGAACATGGGGTACAGATGGAGCTTCAAGAGGCTGATCTTCAGGATCAGAATATGAGGGAGACGGCAGTCCATTAGGTATGTAAGGCTTAGGCTGCTTAGAGGTTTCTAGGTCAAAACCAGGACCTTGAATTGCACTTGGAAAGCTAATGGAAGTCAGTGCAGATGTAGCTGACTAATAATATTTCATTGGTTACATTGAATATTGCATTGCTTCCTTGAACTCCCTTGTGCATTAATAGCCATCTGTTGTTTCTTGCCCTATGTTTAGCTTATCTGGGACAGTGACCTATTTTTCATTCTGTACCTTTACTTATTATGGTGTGTCCTGGCCCATGATAAGGAGTCCTAAGCATGACAGAGACACAAATAATAAAATGATGAAAATAAATAAGTTTATTACTTTAGAATAGACAGAAACCTGGGCAGAATGGGCAGAAGTAATACTTGAATGGATGTTTCATGTAGTGCATCAAGAAAAGTATTCAGTTGCACAGACAGTTGTTTTTCTTAAATATATAATATAATGTTTCTGGGTACCTGAATTCAGCACATATTTTTCATGAGACCCAACTCTCACTAAAGCCTCTTAGGTCTATCAGAACACAATGTAAAGATGCCAGAATAGTTGTATTAGACTAATGTGATGGGCTGCTTACAGATATTAAAAAAAAAAGCTCTTTATTTTAAACTTGGTGTGCTCCCATGCTGAGCCCAGTGCATGCCCAGAAGAGGCATCATGTTAGTTGGACCCAGTTTGGTCAACATCTGTATATATCAGGTGCTTTAGTGGAGCTTTTTTGGCACTTCTACCTGCTCATTTTTTCTACCTTCCATCAAAATAACAGTCATTTCCTAGTACCGAATAGAGTTTTTAGGGGCTTACATAGCTGTAGCAATGGGAAACAAGTTCATAAGACCAGAAGATGTCATGATGATTATCTAACCTGACTTGCATATCACAGGTCCAAAAACACCCCTGCACTGAAGAAGAACACATTGCACTCAAAAGCTTGCCTAAATCTATCCCAATCATGCAGTTCCTCCAATAACAACTATTGCCCACAAAAATCTTTGCCTCTAATCCCTACTCTTCTCTTAGTAATTTCTGCATCAAGCCTATATTTCCATGTGAGCTATATCCTGTCTTTTAAAAAAGTCATCTAGGCTTGCTATAAAGATTCCAAGCGGTAAAGAATTCATCATGTCTTGAGGTAAGCCCCTTCTATTGGTAATTGGATAAAATGTATGCTTTAGTGCTAGTCAGAAATATCTTTTTCATGCATAATTTTGTAAAATGCCATTGTAAGGACCAGATTCTGTTCCACCAACTGCAGTTCTAGGTGGAGCTAAGTGTGATTTTATTCCATCTTATTTACGTTCTGAAAGGTCAGGAATGCATCTACTTTTGTAACACACCATCATTTGACTGAGTCACAAAATCATGATTACATTATTAAAGTAGTAATTTAAAGGATAGGAAGAAAGCAAGACAATTTTGGAGTAAAGAAAAGTTAGAACTAGCTACACAACAAGTAAACAGCAATTGAAATAGATAATTCTAGTTATGTAATCAGTATACAGTTCCCCATAGCTTCACTCCATTGGCTGCCTATAGCACACCTATGCTTTTTTTATTGGGATATTTTTGGGAGTTAATCTGATTATTCTTGGTCCTTTCTTTTTTAAAATATTCATTGTAAAATGCTACTTGTAGGAAGAAGGGACTGTTGGGATTTAGAGGCCTTTGGGCCTGGGTTTTTAACCCTGGCACTTAGCATGAGCACAAATATGTTCTGCTGCAGATTATCTTGGCTTTAAACAGCTGCAACTCAGCAATGAGATCTGATATGAGGATCACCTGGACCATGACCTGTTCTTGGTGAAGAAGAGAAAGTCTAGAAATACCTTGTTTAGATGACCAAAATCAAAACAAGAAGTTGGCCAACCAAAATAAGAAAATTTGGCTTGGAAAAAGAGGAACAATCAGTAGCAGAACTAGCTCCTATGTAAGAATGAGAAAAAGTACCTATGGCTGGACAATTCCAGTCAATCATATATGCAAGTGGAAATAAGCTTATTAATATGCATTATAGGGAATGGCTTAAGCTAATTATATGATAAGAAACATAGTAACAATAAGGTATAGAAGTAAAGGAATTGGAACCCCTTCCCAGAACACTCCCAAAGGAAGCCTGAAGAGATCCAGTCACCAATCCAAGATCCTGCACAGACATCAGATGCAGGAGGTGGGAGCCCCGAAGAAGAGCTCACACAGCCTGATCAACCAGTGAAGTCATGTTGGCAATGTCTCAGGGTTTCGCTTTTGACTAGCTCTATAGCATTAGAATAGTAACTGCTGAGGATGCTTTACTGTTGATTTAGAATTGTAACTGTTAGTGTTCAATAGACTTGATTATAGTTAAGAACAACCATGTCTTAGTCTCCATACCTGGTAAAAGACCCGTAGCATCATTGGATGTAACAGGACAGTTGAATGAAATTGCTTTGCAATGCCAGTGCCTAAGCATGCCCCACTGACTTGCTCCTGCTTATGCGCACCAAGGCCAGGAATGTAACATAAAGGTTGATCTCAAGAGCTGGCCCCCATGGGAGGTGGTGTTCTTGGCAGCAGCAGTGTCCAGATATGCAAGTGTCCTGGTGCTACCTACCTTGATGGTGAGGGACAAGAGGTAAGATTCCTCTCCCATCTCAGCTCCTCTGCCATCACAGAACTCTTGGGCAAGTGGACTGTGTTCCTCAGCACTTTCTGTTCAGCAAGAGCTAATGCAGGCAGATTTTGCCTTTCCTGAGCTACTGCTGCTACTTCATTATGTCACTCCCTCTCCTATGTGATTAGAAGCTGGAAGAACTCTCTGCTGGCAAGTAGGAAGTAAAGGGGCCATTAATAAAATACCCAGAGCTATAGTAAAGTAAAATATCATTTACACACTTCCAAATATTTTAATTAAATATTCTAATACTTTTGCTTCAGGAAAATACATCAATAACTTTGTGCAACACAGTGCCATGTATGGTAAAGATGAATGATTGTGCAAGAAAATTGGGATAAATATGGCATTGTTGTTACAGCCTGAACAATTGGATAGTCATATCTGTCCTTGTAGGGATCTCTTCGCTTCATCTTTCCCCTTGAAACCTCACATCATTATCCACACTGGGATGAAACTAATTATGGTTTTTAAAAACTTGTATTTCCTTTCTTCATTAACAAAGTCTTTTTTTCCCCCCACTTCTCTGGAATGTTTTTATGCGGGGTTCTTCAACTCTCCATTCATAGAGGGCTCAGAAGCTGAGCCAACAAGACCCCGTTTTTTTCTACAGTGATTGTGGATGAATTTATAGATGGCAAAGACAGGGATGACCAGACTAGGCACTCCAGCCAGGATGACAATGATGGCATAGACCCAACCAGGATATCCAATTTTCTCTGTTTTGGGGAACTGTTCCTGTGAGAATGAACAGTCATGTCAGGTATTTGTAGCAAATAAAATATATAAAAAATCACATATTGAACTCTAACAGAAAAAAATTGAACTATGACAGTATATAACAATATTCTAACTCTGAAAGGACAAGGGAATATTAGCAGTTTATGCTTAAAGGATATAACAGATTTTTATGAATAGCATTTATACTTTCATTGGGTTCTATAGTAAGATTATTTAGCATCTTAAGAGCACCTTACATATATTAATTGAGTAATCCTCCCTGCATTGTTATAAGATACATACTTACTGGACCTCTTTGGGGTAATAAAATGGAGAAAAAGGGGGTGCTGAGTGCTTTGTCCAAAGTAAGCTGTGCTGACCTAGCTAGGCTTAGACCATAGGAATGCCTGGCTGTGATCCACTAGCAATTTCTGACTTAGTGCACTTTACAGTGAACCATTCTTCTTGCAGTGAAAAGGGATGGGTTTTATGAGCTTTGCAGGTTTTGTATTAAGCCTAGGACTGTCTGGATGCATAAATAGTAGAGTTGAAGAAAGTGGCTGTGATTTGGGGCCCAGTTAGGTAGGAGGAGGAAAGGGGCTGAATTTGCGTTAGAGTTAGGTGTTTGCTGCACACCTGCCAATGTGATGAGGCCTCCCACAACAACTATCTTTTGCTGGGGCCTTTGCAGGGGCACAAGCCACAGTACTACCCTGAGGGGTGCATGGTGTTTAGTCCGCTACAATCCACAATAAAAAAACCTAGGTTCCATATGTTCCAAGACCTATGTAGTTCAGGTTGAAATTGATCTTTCCTCAAGTAATATCCCAAAAGCTTTTCCTGGGAGCAAATATTAATATATAATAAACACAAGACCTGCAGAGGTAGAAGCAGGGGGGAGATACTGATCACAATTATAAGTGAAAATCTGAGTAACTTCACTGTATATCCTATGAGTTTACACTGAAAACTGGGTTCAGAATCTGACCTAATAGATGTCTTGTGAACACTAACAGGGTGTTACATGACAAATTCCTCTTCAGTCCATACAGTGTAACTGGCATCAATTCAAAGGCTCTTGTTTTAATCCTATCTCTCAGAAGGACCTTTTTTTCCCAGTCCTCCTCTTCTCATAGGCAAAATTACCAAGCAATCACTCTCCAGCAATTTCCAGACATTAATGGCTGAAGTTAGAAAGCAACTTCCTTTCTCTAAGTGATAACATTTTTATATTCCATTATAT